CTCACACCCCTCAGTCCCTCACAAATCCCTCAATCTCTCACACCCCTCAATCCCTCACACTCCCCTCAATCCCTCACACTCCCCTCAGTCCTTCACCCCCCTCAGTCCCTCACGCACTTGTTGGTTTGCTGGTACAGCCCCTCCATCCCGCACCGGCTCGGCTCTGCACACGTCACCTCCCGCCACTTCCGGCCCCGCCACCGCCTCCCGCCGCTTCCGCTTCCGCTTCCGCCTGCCCCGGGCCGCGGGCCCGCCCTGCGCCCCGCGGGCCGCCAGGGGGCGCTGCAGGACCGGCGTGGCGCGCGCGGGGCGGGGCCGGGAGCGGCCGTGAGGGGCCGGGAGGAGCCGGGAGAGCCCTGAGGGGCCGGTTGCGGGCGGCCCTTCCCACACGATCCGTGGGTGGCTGCCTCCGTCCGCAGCGTCGGGAGCAGCGGCTGCAGCCTCCCGGTCAGCTGCGAGAGCCGCCTGGGGTCGGGGAACTGCATCCCCCGCACCGGAGCATGGAGTGGATTCGTGCCCCTGTCCCCTGCCATGGCAGGGACACCTTCCACCGTCCCAGGCTGCTCCTAGCCCTGACCAGCCTGGCCATGGACGCTCCCAGGGATCCAGGGGCACCACAGCTGCTCTGGGCACCCTGTGCCAGGGCCTGCCCACCCTCAAAGGGAACAATTCCTGCCCAATATCCCACCCATCCCTGCCCTCTGGCAGTGTGAAGCCATTCCCTGTGTCCTGTTCCTCCATCCCGTGTCCCCAGCGCCTCTTCAGCTCTCCAGGCCCCGGAAGGGGCTCTGAGCTCTCCCTGGATTCTTCTCCAGGTGAACACCCCGAGGTCTCCCACCGTGGTTCCATGCAGAGGGGCTCAGCCCTGGAGCAGCTCCAGGGCCTCCTCCCCTGAGCAGCTCCACACCCTCCTGATGCCGAGGGCACAGCTCTGCAGGTGGGACCTCCCGAGGTCAGCTCTGGGAATCCAGTGACCAACACACCTGGAGATGCAGATACTGAGCTGATACCTCCCTCCTCACAGGATGAATCCTACCTCCAGGTATCCCTTCTAAAACAGCTCTTTCTGCTCTTTCACCATTGTTACACCTGTCCTGCACTGTGTCTTGCTGTCCTGTTCAGTGTTTCTTTGCCAGGGAACTGCCTGCACTTCACAGATTTGTTCCCACATGGTCAAGGTCAGTTTAGGGTGTCCATCCTGCAAAGAGGTTTGCTTTCTTAATAATCCTGGTTTTTCTCCATACTTAGAGATACACTAAATTCTCTCCTGTGGGATGTTACCCATTCATAGGGGAACTGCAGGTTCCTGCCCTATCTGACAGAGCTTTTCCCTGGGGCTGCATGAGAGACTGCTTTTTAGTTTATTCTTCATTGTTTGGACCAGATAATCCACTACAGTTGAAGCCACAACTCTTCCTTGTATGTACTGGGCTACTACACCTTATATCTTTGTGGTCAGAGTCTGCTGAGCCACCTGAATTCCTGTCAACTTTTACTTCATGGGAAAAGCAAGGAGATGAATGATTAAAAAAACCAACGTGGTGGGAAGGTATAGCCCAGTTAGGGCAGCAGCATATCAGACGCACAGCTACAAACACTGATCAAAAAGCTCCAATTAGGACCATAACTCTGTCTTGTCACTGTGGTTTAATGGAAAATAGTTCTTGTCAACAAATGTAACTTCATGCCAATAAGAGTTTGATTGGGAAAAATTGGGAAAGGCTTGTATTCTGTAAAGCATTCAACTCTATACCACAAGATCAGCTGAATTTGAAAAGTCAGTTTTCAATTGAAAAGTCTGTAGCCTCTGTCCTCATGGTCCAGACAAACACTCAGCTCTCTCCTTCTCCACTGTTTCTTCCCTCTAATAAATATTGTCATTTTATACTTGTTCCTCAGGCTTTGAATTCCCCTGATATTGAGCTGATTCTGCCTTTTTCTGGGTTTGTGCTGCCTGTCCCACCTGTGATGTGAGGTAAACCTGCTTTATCAACAAGAATTGTCTTAAACTGAGTCCATCCAGATAAAATGCTCTAATACTATGGAATAAAATACACTGATTTAAGTCCTAAACTTCCTTCAACACTCGCAGCCTTGTCCTGCATTTGACTTAGGCAAAACCAAAATAACTGTACAGCAAAATTCAGGCTATTGAAGGATGACAAATGATGGAGGAAAAGTGAAAAAATATTTTCAGAGGTGGGGAAGTTAAAGGCAGACACCTCCTGATGTGAGACTGGGCAAATTGGGAAACCAGTGTTGGGTTCTTTCTGTTGTTGCTCATTTGCAGTTCAGGGTGAGCACCTGAAGAATGCAGCCTTGTCACAGGAGAACACATCCCTGAGCACCACACAGATATAAAAGAGGGAAACAACAACACATCTTTAATTAATGAGAGATTCTGTCCCTGTGGGTCCATCTCTTGTGTCTCAGATGATGCATCAAACTTAGTCTGCCCTGCCCTGCCATGCAGCCAACCAGGCCTCTGGCAAGAGATTATCCCCTGGATGTCAAACAGCAACTCAAGCCCCAGAAATCACATCAGCCCAAGGATAAACAGCATATCAACAAAACCATTAACTGCAGCAGTAACAAACACATTCACTCCTTTGCTCTCCCTTCCCTGGGCCATTAGACCCCATTTTCAAACACTTCTGGAAATAGGTTGAATGGAAATAGACTCTGGGATTCCCTCCTGGCCAAGGCTGTGAGAGGTATCACAGGAGCCTTGATGAAATGGCAAGCACTGAAAATACAAGAACAGATTTCTGTTCTTTTGTGAAGAAATTGATTTTTGCCAGAAACAACATGCTGCAACCCAGCGTCTGTTCTTGTTAGACTTCAAGTCCTTCCAGGAGGAGTTCTTCAGCAAATTGGCTCATTTAGACACAACAGCCAGGAGCATGGAGAGGAAAAAAGGGTTTTGTTCAAGGAAAGCCTCTGTATTGTAAACAGGATAAAAGGGGATGGAGAGAGTCACTTATCACTGTCTCTCATGTCCCCAGGTCATTCCTGCGTAGCATCTACTGGAGAAAAAGGATTTTATATTCCCTGCTCTCCCAGAACCCCAACTGGGGGATTTTCTCTATCACATAATCTGCAGACCCTGTGTGCATTAGCAGCTTTCCAACCCCATTGCTGTTGCCATTGCTCTCCTCTGCCTTGTGCAGCCTGGCAGCACCCAAGGGAGAGCTGGATCCTCACACAGTCTCCTTTGCTCTGCCTGCACCAGCCCATGTCCCACTCACAGCCATGGCACTTGGGGTTCTCCCCAAAAACACTGCTGCTCTGTTTAGTATCAGACCCCAATAATGCATCACTCCCTGCTTCTCTAAGCATGATCCCATGAGGCACAGAAACTCTCTGCCCCCCTCTCTCTTTCTCTTCCCCCTCCCTCTCGTTTTGGGACACTCTTTGCATGCTTTGCTGATACAAATAACTGCGACTTTCAAAACAAAGGAGTGCCGAACCCCAGGGCATTCCGCCCGGGAGAGACGTGTGGATGAGTGCTTGATGGAGACTGCTGTGAGTCCAGCTGCAGGCCATGGGCTGCATGTCCCAGCTCTGACAGGCTCCCGGACACAAGGCAGACCTCACAGCACGCCTCTCAGCACTTCCAGCCTGGGGAAGGGGGCAAAACGAGAAGGGGAGACATGACAAGAATGTTGGAGACTCATCTATCAAATTTCTCGGGCTCTTGGGTGATGTGCTGGACCCAGGTCTCCCTGAGCAAGGAGCTTTTTAAAGACGCACTGCACCTTCCTGCTCATCTTCCCAAATTAAGAACGTTTCTGCACAACTGTCACAGTCAGTTTTGAGACTGATCTGTGGCTGTGAGAGTCACAAATGCTCAGACCATCATTCCCTTCTGCATAAATATCCCAGGGAAATGGATATGGAAAGGATGGGGAAGGCCAGACCAAGGGAAGGAGACAAGGAACATCTCTGCTGTTTCACTCCCTCCCTCCCTTCTGAAATGAGGCAGGGAAATATGGCAGGAATAGGAATAAAAACAAAATATACCCAGTGGTGAGGAGCACTGCAGCATCTCCCAGCCTGAAGGATCTTTGAGACGCAAATGGCTTCGAGGTTTGGAGAATCCTGGGCAAGTGTATTTTCCTCATGCTTTCATCTTTCCCTGGTGGTGGCCACACAGGGCTGCTGGAGGTGAAATACTGACCTTGATGGATTTTTGGTGCAGGCACTGCATGGCTGTGTTAGTAGCTCCATGCCTCCACTGCACTATAAATGTTATATTATCATAATAATGATTATACACAACTCAGTTCTTCATGTAGGACTGAATTCCTCATGCCTTTTCCCTGCTGATCCTGCCTGTTTGACCTTATTAATGAAATTCAGGAAACGGGAGCAAAGAGCCTCTTCCAACAGAGCCAAGGAGGCAGAAGGGGCAAGAAATTACATTGCCTTCCCCAGACAGTGCACAAATTAAATTCTAATAATCCTGCCACTACACCTTCCTTTTGCCCAGCATCAGGAACCTGTTAGGAACCTCAGCTGCCTTCAGCTGAAATGGCATCCCCCCTCAATTCCAAATCCCACAGAAATCTCTGAGTTTTGGCCTTAAAAGCTCTGGCTTTGAAAATCATTTAAATTTATTTACTGGGCAACCCTGTTTAATAATACATAATAAATTTATTATGGCAGAGTCTGTCTGGGCACTATTAACCCTGAAGTGGATGTGCATAATGTAACACTTACATAGGAAAATCTTAAAATCTGTGAGCAATACCACGTACCATTATCCTGATTTTTCCAGGGGTCAGTTCCCTGACAGTCAAATCTCTCTGAAATGTGTCAGGTTAAGAATTCCATTGAAATTAGACAACATCATCAGCTGCTTTGAGAAATTTTAGGAGCAGATCTTTTATGTTCTCTTTCCCACTGAATAAGCAGCCATTTCCTGGGTCTAATTTTGGCAAACCAATCCGGATAACTGAAGTTTATTAGCTTAATAGGTTAATGCTGAACTGTTTCCCAAGTCAAATCTGGATGTCAATCTGCCTCATACTCACATTTTGTCAATATGGGGGATCTTAAAATGAAAACAAAAACCCAAAAACCCAAAATTGTTTTCATCTGCGCTTCATCCACGGGGTAATCCAGGCATGCGGAGCCGGCCCTGCCGGGTCCCTCTCCCCGTGTCTCCCCGCTGGCTGGGATGCTGCAGGGGCTGTGC